TTAAAGTTATGATGACTAAAATAACTAATTTTGAAACCTTATATATTAAGGGTATTTTAGGTAGTTTATATAATTGAATAGTGAAATTGGTTAGTTTGGGGTTAGTTTGGAATTATGGCCTTGAATTTGGGTCATTTACTTGTATATCCTCATTTATTCGCTACACCAAGATTAAAGGCCCACCTTAATAATTTTATACATTATGAATTATTACGGTAAATTCATACATACTCAAACTTCTCAAAGTACCACCTTCTCGCCGCTACCCCCAATCTACCTTAATCTGAAGGTCTAATGGTAGTCGAAAAGAAAATGTGTACAATATAACTCCATACATTCAGCCTATGTTTGAGCCCCATTTTTTGAAAAAATGAGTTTTGTGATAGTGATTTATTTTTTTGGTAGAATGTGATTAAAAGTAGGAAAATTTTTTGGATTTATGTGTAAAATTATTTTATTGGAAAAATGTGATTGAAAATGAGTTTAAGGGAAAAAAAAATTTATATGTAACGAGGCTCACAAAGGTCTCAATATCGAAAACATAAAAACCTGTTTTCAAACCATCACTGGTAAAACCTGAAATACTATATGTTCTTTTAAATAAATTTTTTTTTTCTCAAAGGATGGATAATTTGTGAACCCACCTAATGAGAACGTACAAGGCGAGGCCTACACGATATAGCGTATCACCTACGAACGAGATCCTTAATATTAATATTACTTAAAAAAGAAATCCTAACTTGTTACATCACAAGACATAATAAGCCCTTGTTTGGTGTGGCTTGGGAGGATGTAGATTAAAAAGTTTGGAAATATTTTGAATTTATGTGTAGAATATTTTATCGTATGAATACGTGTTTGAAAGTGAGTATATAGAAAGAAAAAAATTGAAATTAAGGAAAACAAACATGACTAAATCATCCAAATTAAGGCTCTTGAATAAGGACAGGTTGCACGAGAAGTTGATTTTATAAAATGTGTACTGAATGGAAAAGTATTCATGTTCAAAGTCGTCGTTAAACTAATTTTCTACATTAATTAATTTCTTAGAAAGATGTAAAATTCATTGGCAAAACCTTCAACTAATTTTCTACATTAATTAATTTCTTAGAAAGATGTAAAATTCATTGACAAAACCTTCTTCGGTACGTAAATTGAGCAATTCCATTTGTACGGTAAGAATTGATCGAAGAGGTTGACAATCTCACAATGGTGGGTTCAACAGTAATTAAAAAAAAAGGACCATGCTAGTGGTACATCAAGATTTACATCGGGGTTTACACCTCTCTCACATGGGGGGTGGGGTCCACTCGAATAAAAAAATATTATTTCAATGGGTCCCACCTCCCATGTGAGAGGGATGTATCCCTTGATGTACAAATTTTGATGTACAAGTGGAATTGACCAAAGAAATAANTACAAATAGAATTGTCCAAAAAAAATTAGAAAAATGCTACTTGTACATCAAAAAGTATACATCAAGGTCTACATCCCCTCACATGGAGGGATCCACTTGAATAAAATATTCGAGTGGGCCCCTTACCCATGTGAGGGGGATGTACACCGTGATGTATACCCCGATGTACTAGTAGCATTGCTCAAAAAATTATCGCCCGCCCCCCGCCACGTGTGAATGCTTGTCAACAATACCACCCTGGGTACAAGTAGCACGCCTCACATAAATTGGGTCTGCTTTCAGCTTAAAGTGTTGTCTTGGAGACAGTGCGTCCATGCCTCTTTATACAACAAAAATAATAAAGAATGGTGAACCCATTTCAAATCAATGATTTTAATTAAATAAAAAACATCCCAATTGAGGTTTGTCGTGCATGATCTAGTGAAAAACAAGAACGTACAAAAAAAATAATAAAGAATGGTGAACCCATTTCAAATCAATGATTTTGATTAAATAAAGATCCCGATTGAGGTTATTCGTCCATGATCTAGTGAAAAGTATACACGTATAATAAAGAATGGAGAACCGATTTGCAAATTAATCGGAGAATGTATGATTAGAAAGTCTGGAAATATTTTGAATTTATCGTGTGAATATGTGATTGAAAATAAATATATAAAAAAATATATACATAGCTTAATTAATTTCTTAGAAAGATGTTAAATTTGATTGTCAAAACCTTCTTGCGTACAAAAATATAGCTTAATTAATTAGTTCTTAGCCAAATTTGGACCACTGAATGCGACGTCTAGCATCTCCTTTGAGTTTGGCATTTTCAAAAAAAAGATATTTTGGAACGAAGTGTTTTGTCTTCTTTCTGCTTAAAAATGTTGTCTCGAAGACAGTGCGCATCCATGCCTGTTTTATACAACAAAAATAATAATAATAAAGAACGATGAACACATTTCGATTTTAATTAAATAAAGATCACACATAGTGAAAAGCATACACGTACAATAAAAATAATAAAGAATGGTGAACCAATTTGCAAATTCATATGAAATACAAGATCTTATTTCCCAGTCAAAAAAAAAGAAACTCTTATTAATCCTATTAAGAGACATCATATTAAAAATAAGTTTCTAATTGGGATTTGCTGTGGACGTGAAAAGCATCTTAGAGACTGATTGAAAATTGGAATAATGCTAGAAGTACATCACCATGTACATAATGGTGTACATAATGCCAATGTGACAATCATCCAACCTTTAATTCAAATTTGACACTGACACATCAATGACTGGATGATTGACACATTAGCATTATGTACACCATTATGTAGATGGTGATGTACTTCTAGCATTATCCTTGAAAATTGAGTTTTTAATTGGTATCCTTTATTAACACTGTACTCTGTTCGTACTTTGATTTATTGAAAAACCTAACACAATTATTACAACATTTTTAGTTCCTTCCTCTCTCTGTGTGTACCTCACGCGTCACTTTACCACACCTCTGAATCTTCCTAATGACCACTTCAAAGCTGAAAATTCCTCTTCCTAATCTATAAAATCACATTTCATATCTCATCTATTTTGCTCATTTTGTTCTTAACTTCCTCGAAACTTTCTTATTTTCCTGGCATTAAACAAGATTTTTGCTTGAGGAAAAAAACCATGAAGTTCGGTAAAGAATTTGCATCTCAAATGGTGCCGGAATGGCAAAACGCATACATGGATTATCAGTTTCTGAAATCCCTTTTGAAAGAATTTCAAGTTTTTAAACAAAGAAATAAGCCATCAATAAAGCAAAATGGTGGCATTAAACGAAATCTTACTCTCTACAGAGCATTCAGTGGACTAACAACACGCAGAGGCAATTCTCCTAAACCCCAAAATCTATCAGACGTTGAAAGTCAAGTCATTCTGGTGAATACAGTGAGAAGAGACGGCGAAGAAGGCTCGGAAACTATGTTTCTCAATGCAGCGGATGAAGGAGGAGAATATGAACTGGTTTACTTCAGAAGACTTGATGACGAGTTTAATAAAGTTGTTAAGTTCTATAAAGCTAAAGTGGAGGAGGTGATGAAGGAGGCTGCTGTTTTGAATAAGCAAATGGATGCTCTAATTGCTTTTCGGATTAAAGTGGAGAATCCAAAAGGGTGGGTGAATAGCTTGGAGGAGACCGCACATCTTGCTTCGGATGTTGCAGCGTCTACAGCTGCACTATCTGCATCCACTCCATCTGCAGCTAGAGCAAGCAGTAAGTACATAATTTGTTCTCTTTCATTTGCATTGCTCTTAAGTGGGTGTTTGACGGAGATTAAAATTAGATTTTTAGTAGATTGTGATGGAAGTTTTTGAAATGTGTGATTGAAAAGTTGTGAGACCATTAAAGATGCAATTAATATTGATTGTATAAATTTTACTTAGATTAAAATTTGATTTTAATCCGAAACAAGCAGACATACCCGACCCAATTATTGTCTCAGACAAGCCATTGGTTCACCAGTTTACTGGTTCAACCGGTTCCATATGGGTCATTCCTAGTTCATAAATCCAAATAATTTTTTTAAAGCCATTTTTTCTGGAAAAAAAAAAATGGTGAATACGTAGTATTTTATGTTAGTATACTCTTAAAATCACATGAGTTTTATCGTGTTTTGAAGCTTTTTTAAAAATAAATAGAAGTTGTAAATAACTAAACAAAGTGATAAAATAAAACTTTTAAATTTCTGTGGTTCAAAAATGTGCCCCTGTTTGTTGGGGATTAAAATCAGGTTTTTAGTAAATTTTAATAATAAAATATATGGTTGAAAAATTGGGAGTGCCATAAAATATGTGGTTAACATTAGTTTTTGATTTTGACATAGATTAAAATTTAGATTTTAGCCCATATCAAACTTGGACAATTATGTGTTACCAATCTCCTAAATGAATAGAAGTTTAAGTGATATAGTCGTAACACTCACATAATTGGCTCAGGTTCAAATCATCGAACATTTTTATATTTTATAAAAGTGTATAAACTTTTAGTAATGGATTGATTCGAGTTGGGCTTACCATTTGGGTTTTAATTAAAATTGGCCAGTTCTAAGGGTCCGTTTGATTGCAATGATGGAAATGAATAGAAAGAAAATGAATTAAAGAGAAAGTAATTGCCTAAAAGTTGTTTTACAGGGAATTGTTAATTTAGTGTGTTTGATTGGTATAATTTTCCACCCCGGAAATTTTTAAAATTTTGTGTTCATTTGACTTTGTTTTACATGAAAATTGTCCATTAAAGTGATAATTTTTTCCACAATTGGTTATAAAATTTGTTTTCATTGGAAAAAAAAAATCAATTTTCCCAACCTGATCCAACATGTCCAATATTCCAAGTGAAAAATTTCTATTAATTTCTTAAGGCTAGACACTGCTGAAAAGGCTTGATCTAAAAGCTTAGTGCATGTTTGATAAAACTTAAATTTTATTTTAAGCCAATTAAACATATTTTTTATCAACACATTTTTAGTATCCATAACTTACTGCCAACTTATCATTTAAAACTTATAAGCACTATCAAAAATACTATTGATTTGTTAGAAATAATCATATGTACATATCATTTAAATTTTGTCTTCAATATACCTCCTCACGTGAAGGTGGGTTCACTTTTTCCCCATCATAGCCTAATGCATACAAGTTTTCATGAAATGGGTGGTCATGAGATACTTCAATATCATGTTGAACATGTTGATCTAAAAACTTCAACAAAATAGAAACGTGTATGAAGGATTCATCTTTTTAAACCATAACTAATTTGCTATAGCAAACTACATTGATGCATTAAGTGATGATAAGTATGAACTAACAATTCTGATAACTAAAAATGACATAAACTTCTTTATTTTGATGCAGGAAGATTTCCGATGGACGTGATAGACGAAGAAGGTTCAAGCAACCCGGGGCAAATAGATGAATCAAGTGATGATAAAGATGCCATTGAGATGAAACCATTGTATTTAAATGATCAAAGGCATAATCCTGATACAATCAAGACCACAAGACCAGCACCTTTAGAGATACTTAACCGTGTAAAATTTAACAGTACTCAAGAAACTCCTCGTTCGACCATTAAAGGATTTCTTAATCTTCCGAATCAAACCGACTTAAAGTTCAGCAAGGCAAATTTGAAGAAAGTGGAAGAACAACTTAAAAAGGCTCTCAGTGAATTCTACCACAAGCTTAGGCTACTAAAAAGCTACAGGTATAATTAGTTGCTGTTTCATTCTTGACTTTGTTGGTACTGATATAATTTCTTTACATCCGAAACAGTTTCCTTAATGTTTTGGCCTTCTCAAAAATCATGAAGAAATATGATAAGGTATCTGCCTATAAATTATGCTTATATTTTACTTTTATCTGTATAAAAAACATATTTATTCAGATAGGAAACACTTACCAAGCTAAAGAAGAGAATTTTGTGTGACATATTAGATACTGTCTTTTGCAGGTTGCTTCAAGAACTGCATCAAAATCTTATATGACAATGGTTGATAATTCCTATCTTGGCAGCTCGGATGAGGTGAGTTTTTGAATTCAATAGGAAAATGAAGATTTTTTTACAGATAGAAACATGAGAGATTTATGAATTGCTCATCTTTTTTTTTTTATTAGAAGATGTATATAGAAATGTATGAGTAAAAAAAGCATATTCAGATAAGTTGATATTTGAAATTATAGGTAATCAAAGTGATGGAAAGAGTGGAGGCCACATTCATCAAGCATTTCTCCAACTCGAATCGCAGGAAAGGGATGGAAACCTTAAGGCCAAAAGCCAAAAAGGCAAGACATAGAGTTACATTCTCAATGGGTAAAATATTTCACTTTGCTTTACTTAAATGAACTTTTATTCTGTAAAGTAGATTGGACAATATTAAAAAATAAAATCAAATTATATTTTCGAGTACAATCCAATACTGCATATCACCCCACTAAGAGATTAATTTCTATGGGGGTCCTTAAGTATCCATTTCATCTAATGTTTGTACTCAATATCTACAGGGTTTCTTGTTGGCTGCACATTTTCTCTCATAATGACCCTTGTTTTAATAATACGAGCACGCAATATCCTAGATAAACAAGGCAGAGTTGTATACATGGAAACTATGTTTCCTCTTTACAGGTCAATCCTTATTCTTACTGATCTGTTGATGTCCAAAAACTTAGCTATAGCAAAACAAAGAGAGTCTGGACTTTTAAGATAATATTTAGCTTTTTTTTAACAGGCTATCGTTTAATATGTCAAGTTATCGTTTTCTTTCAGTTTGTTCGGATTTGTTGTTCTCCACATGCTAATGTATGCTGCAAATATATACTTCTGGAAGCGATATAGAGTCAACTATACTTTCATATTTGGGTTCAAAGAAGGAACAGAACTCGGCTACACAGAGGTTTTACTCCTTAGTTTTTGTTTAAGTGCACTAGCCCTAGCCAGTGTACTTGCAAATCTTGATATGGAAATGGATCCAAAAACGCAAGATTACAAGGCAATAACCGAACTTCTCCCGCTCGGTTTAGTACTGGTAAGATACTAGGATTAATGTCACTTCACCTTTTAAATATTCGTAATTTCCACGAATGCTAATCTTAGTTAATCTTCCACTGCAGCTTGTAATTGCTATTCTGCTATGCCCTTTCAACATTATATACCGCTCCAGCCGATTCTTCCTGCTTGTCTGCATATTTCATTGTGTCTTTGCACCTTTATACAAGGTAAAGACATTATTCTATATATTTGCTCGAAAAATTTCCCAAAATGACTAACACGGTTTACATCTCCCCCGCAGGTTACATTACCCGACTTTTTCTCGGCAGATCAGCTTACAAGCCAGGTAATAATATTGACTAGCAGATAATTATAAAATGTGGCCATTTCCTCACCTTGTATGTACTTTATTAATTCATCAATCTTAATACAGGTTCAAGCCATTAGAAGCCTACAATTTTATGTTTGCTACTATGGTTGGGGAGACTACAGAGTGAGAGAGAATAGTTGCAAAGAAAGTAATGTTTTCAAAACTTTCTCTTTCATTGTAGCCGTGATTCCATACTGGTGGCGCCTCCTTCAGGTATCTAACCAACGTCTTATACCCTGTTGTATGACTTCGTCTAAAAGCTGAAGTTGTTATAATGAACATGTTTATTTAGTTAAATTTAGACCTCACAAGCAATTGAAAATCAGTCCACAAGAATGAAATATGCTCTAATGCATGAATAAGCATCCAATTAGGTTACATCAATTGGAAAATTCTATTTAGGACAACGACTAATATTCTCGTATTTATCTCTCTCACACACTATAGGGTGAGAGAGATAGATACAGAGAAAGATGGTCTTTGTCTGACTTAGAATGACAGGTTCCAACCATGATTGACACAGTATCTTCATTGCTCAGTGTCTGCGCCGTCTGTACGAAGAGAAAGACGCTATGCAAGGGCTCAATGGCCTGAAATATTTCTCAACAATTCTAGCAGTTTGTACCAGAACAGCTTATACTCTTAGCAAAGGAAATGTTTGGAAGCTCGTAGCTTGGATAACCTCAGCAAATGCAACTATTTTTAGCACATACTGGGACATTGTAATTGACTGGGGTCTTTTCCAGCGCAACTCTAAGAACCGTTTGTTGAGAGACAAGCTTCTTATTCCACATAAGATTGTGTACTTTATAGCCGTGGTGAGTCTTAAGAATGGATCATTAAATCATGTGGTTATCATTAAATTTTTTTGTGTTTTGAGGTTATTACCTTTTGTTGCAGGTTCTCAATATCTTGTTAAGGTTAGCGTGGATGCAGACAGTGATGAATTTCACAATTTTTTCCTTGCACCGACAAACTATGATTGCGCTTGTAGCTTCTCTAGAGATCCTACGTCGTGGTATATGGAATTTTTTCAGGTACATACACCAGTTCCTTATCTTTGCATTAGAATCGACCTTCTCGTAATTATTGTTGGAAGAGACGGATAACTCAAGAATCGTCACACTGATACTATTCAAGTCGAACCTAGTGTTTGCTAGAAGACGCAAAACATGTCAAACTCCCAGCGAGATGTTATGCCCTTCAACTTGGATGACAATAACATCTAGGATATTTTTGTAACACAATAATGGATAGTCAAAATTTTAACTTATTTTTCATTTTTAATCCTATCTAGTGCATCCACTCGGACATACCAAACATGCCTCGAGTTCAGTACTCAATGTTTACTCCCTAGATATTATATAAATTTTATCTGATTTCGATGTCTTTGTTTTTTCTTGCTCAGGTTAGAGAATGAACATCTTAACAATGTTGGCAAATATCGTGCATTCAAATCAGTGCCATTACCCTTCAATTACGACGAGGATGAGGACAGGGATGAATAAATATACTACTGGTCAAGGAGACAACACAAGAAGAGAATATATAATAATGTATCATTCTGATAAATAAATTAGTGTTCCTAACTGATTCTTTCATGAAAATTTTGTAATGTGGTGTGTAATAGTCTCACTTGGTGAACTTTGTTTACGCACAAAAATCAATCTAATACTTTCTAAGTTCTTTTCTTAACAAAAACGAATATGAGAAAATAATATTTGATTTAGTGGCCCAAAGTCACAAAAACAAAAACTTATTCTATTAGGTAGCAATATGAAAAAACACGAACAAGTATGAAACATGCGGGTGCATAGTACTATGAATATCTTGTTAAGGGGGCTGCATTAGGAGAAGGGGTTTAAGAGGAAACGCCTTGTATAGTTTCCAGCAGCTGAATGATATCAGACTTCAAGTGCTCAAAGTCTTCAACTCCACTGCAACTGAAGTCCATTTAACAAATTTCGTTCACTTATGCATTACTCAACCCTTAAATTAAAACTTTGACTCAACTCAACAAATGAAGTGAGATTTTATTTAAAATTTACGACTTTTTATATTTTTGTTAAAATTAGACTTTAATTTAAATATTAAACATTGACCTAAATTGAATTTTATTTTATTTAAGAGTTTTATCCTAAATTAAAATGTTAATTCAATTTAAATTAGAGTTTAGAGTTGGACTCTAATTTAATATTTAATTAAAATTTAATTTTAATTAATCATCCATCATAATATATCTAATTTGACATTTGATTAGAATTTAATTTTAGTTAAATTATATCGCCCTCAATTTTTTTAGAATTTGAGTTGAACTCTAATTTGGTATTTAATTAAATAAGATCGCACTAATATCTTGAAATTAGAGTTGGACTCTAATTTTTATATTGAATTAAAACTTGATTTTAATTAAGTTCAACCGCCTTAAGTTTTGAAATTAGAGTTGGACTCTAATTTGATGTTTAATTAGAATTTGATTTTAATTAAATTATCTAGCCTTAAAACTTTAAAATTAGAGTTGGACTCTAATTTGGTATTTAATTAAAATTTGATTTTAATTAAATAAACATGTTGATTGAATGAATTGATTAATTAATTATTTAATTGTTTCAATCCATCTATTTAAATTAGTTTAGACAACGTTAATTGTTAGAAACTTGAAACATGTTTACATATAATATTAGATATTATATAAGAAATCATTTATATGATAAATGTTTTTTATTGATTGATTATGAACTTAATCATATGGATGTGTTGAATGGTTAGTTTTATTCTTTTTTTAATAGGCCTGCGAGCTCTTATTTATTTTGGACTTGCGCGTCTATTGTAATTTTATGAACTTGTGTATCCAATTATTTAGACATGCGTGCCAACTAGTATAAGATATAGGTTACAGCTAGACTAATTGAAAAAGCAAGAAAATGAGACCATAGAGATGGAGCGTTGTATTATTCAATGTTATGTCCCCTAAGAATTGACCAACTAGTCTCTCTTATAGCTCAAGAAGACTAGATAATAAAGTTCATAATATTATATGTATGTTTATTTACATGTTAGATGTATAATAAAATATATATAATTATTATGATGAGACATTTGTTTGTAAAGCCATTCGTTAAAATATTAAGTCATATTTATATTCTCCTTCTATTATTATAGTGAAAATTAGAGTAGTCAATCGATCTCAACTTGTTGAGTACAATCAAGGCTGATCTATTATGGATATGTTTAACACTATGGAATATTAGATATTTCTGAACGATAGATTTAAATTAACTAAAATTTATATTTTGTTGGGTACACTCAAGGATATAAATTTTAGAGGCATGTTAAGATAACATACAAGATGTGTGAAGTTGTATGGGGATATAATTGATAATAATATTTATCCAAATGTTTAATTAAGGTTTGTTGAGTACACTCAAGGTTTTAATATAACAAATGAGATCCCAACTTATTGGGAGTCAAATATGAATTCCATAAATATATGTGAGAGGATCATAAATTTGAGTTAAATAGTGGGAATATAATTAATTTAATAAAATACCACGTTAAATTAATTGATGCATTCGATACATTACTCTTTTTACTCTTCGTCATTTACATTTGTTGAATCATAGTAGCCATATGTGTTTGATAGGTATATTAGATGCCAACAACCAAACCAAATTTTCTTGATTGACACCATAATCTGAGAATTGTTCTCAAGCATGAGAAAACTGATTATGTCATTGAGTGACCTTTCCCAAATGAAAAGGTGACTGTTATAAGAAATACAGTGATGACGATAGTACTGCAACATGTCTGATGCTTGCAACTATGTCACCCGAGTTACAAAAAGCAATATGAGAGTATATATGCTAATGTATGATTTTTCATCTCGAGATGTTGAATGATGAACAATCACGTGTGGAAAGATATGAGATTTTTTAACAACTATATTATTGCATATTGGTAGATCTTCAGTTAGTGTTCGTGTACTGAAGATGTTGACTACATTGAGAAGCTATCTCAATTGAGTTCAATTATGAACCATGAACTAAGTATAGATTTGGTTCTACAATTTCTGCTAGAATGTTTTTCATAGTTAATTATGAATAACATGAATAAACTCGAAACACACTTATTGAGTTGCTGAACATGTTTAAAACTATTATCTAAGTTTGTAGTAGGCAATCTCAGTCATAGATTTCTCTAGGAAAGTCTAAAGGATGTTTTAGGAAAGAAACCAAAATGGCTACGCTAGTTAAAGCGAATAAGGACAATACCAAATCTAATGACCCTTATTATCATTTTCGAATGATAGGTCATTAAAAAAGAAACTCAAGGCTTATGTCTACTTCATTAACTTCTTGGATATTAGATACCAAATATGGATCTCATATTTATATAAATATGCAAAAACTAAATAAAATGTAGAAGGAAAAAGTTGACTTGGACGTTGAAAATAAGCAAATGTTGCTTGCATTGGAGTTGGAACATACTTCTTGCTATTGCCTTTAAGCTTAGTATTAGAATTAAAAAAATGTTACTTTGTCCCCAACATTACCAGAGAATTAAATAAATTTCATATTTGGACATGAATTATTTTAATTCTCGGGGCAATTGTTAATCATTTTATTTTGATAAAATCTTAATGATTATGGTAAATTACAAAGTGACATTTATATTCTAAATATTGAGTGTTCTATAATGATATAGAAATTGAAAAGTATAAAAATGATAATTTGAATAACACTTATATCTGATTGCAAAATTTGGTCCCATAAATGAGAATGCAAATTCAAAATTAAATGGAGATATATATTTCGGTCAAATAATTTTGAATCATTTGACAGATGTGGAACATGCTTGTGGCACAATAACCAAATCCCCTTTTACTTGAAAATATGAATGATCTGCACAATCATTGGGTCTAATACATAGTGATGTGTATGGATCATATCAATTTATGCTAGATGAAGTTTCTCTTATCTCATCACATTTACTGATGACTATTTCAGAAATGGTCATATATATTTGATGAAATTCAAGCATGAAACTCTTTAAATGTTCAAGGCATTCAAGCTAGAAATGAAGAAACAAATAGGTAAATGTATTCTCACATTAAGACTTGATCGATTAAAGAATATCTAAAAAAGAATGAGATTATTTCGCAATGGATTCCTCCCCGTACACTACAACATAATGGTATATCTGAAAGGATGAATCGTACACTATTAGATAGTGCAATTAATAACAAGCCATGCAAACCCTCCAAAATCGTGGACGAAAACATCCATACAGATAAATCAAAGCTAAGAACAAAAGGTTATAAACGAAGACAAGGAGTGGTGCTATGATAGATTTAGAAGATTGCTTAATTCATCCCAATCTATATAAATAAAATTTTGAGAAAATTTTATATGGAGAAAATAAATTGAGAGTTCGTGGATACAATGATACTAACTTCTAGTCAAACTAGAATGATAACATTTCTCAATCAGAATATTTGTTTACTCTTAAGCGGTGTGTTAGAAAGGTTCCAAATAGGAAATAACCGTTGATTCAATAGCAGAAGCCTTATACGCCATTGTTTTAAAGCAACAAAGATTGTCATTTGGATCAAGAAGTTCATTAATGAACTTAGAGTAGTTCCTAACATTATTGATCACATGCTTCTGTATTGTGATAACACTGGAGCTATCGTATAAAAGATGGAACTAAGATCTTATCAATGATCCAAATATGTGTTAAAGCGGTATAATCTCATTGGAAAGATAATAAAAAAATGACATAAGAAAAGAACGAATTTCCACAAGTTATTAAATTGATTATCGCATTATAACATGATCATCATGTAGACTCTTATGATATTAGAGGACATAGGAAGAGAAAATAAAACCACCTTTGGCAACTTTCTAAAAGTCAATTTAAAATTAAAAAAAACCCTTCTGAAATTAAAAAATTACTTTTGAACTACGTGGATAACTTTCTGGAAGAACTTTGTCTTTGTTAGAAGAGTTTTTAGAATTAACTGGTCTAGCTTCCTCACGAAGCCCTACAAAAAGCAGAAGCAAATCCTACCAAACAAGCCCTAAATATGCTATTGCTATAAGCTCAAAGATACATTTGTGCTGACTAGTCTTGCAGCAAGCCTTTTTCGCGATATTTGGCATGTTAAACTGACACAATTATATAATTAAAGAAAAGAAATAAATAAAATTTCACCAACGGAAGTTGATAATCGATGATGTTTGTCTGTTATATGTAATATGAAACAATGCCTTGGCCTCTATATTCATATTCTGTGTGAATCAGAATAACACATGCTGCCTTTCTAATATACATATAAAGTTCACAACTCAGTAATGTAAGATGTCATATATACTCATTTCTTGATCAGCATCACTTGCTATTTCATGAAAATTGCAAAATTAGGTCTTTTGCCCAAAAACTAAGTTAATTTTTATTCCAATATAATTTCGAATGCTATCCAATTCTCTCTTCCAAACAGGACACTAGGGTTTTTTCCAGTGACAAAAACACTGCTACCTCAAAAAGTGTTTCCTTGTATCCATTCTGGGGTTCAACATAATCCAATGTTGAAGAAATTTAGAAAACAAGATTCTATCAATCCTCTTGAATGAAACACAAACAGTCATTACTCATTGCGACAGTGCCCACATTTAAATGAAACGCGTTCCTATGGAAACATATAGATAAATCAAATTCCTGACGAAGGAACTCAATTCATTTCACCAATTCCCCACCACCACCCAGTTCAATTTTCTCCTACTAGTTTCACTCTTCTCAAATGAAACATTATTCAAAGCTCTTGGCTTGGTGCTAAACACTCACTTTGAAACACACTGAGCAAGTACTTGTCTCCTATTCTTCGAAATTTATTTCTAAAAGAGTTTTCTATTTTGGAAGAACTTTTAGAATAAGCCACATTGGACGAACTTTTACTAAAAACTCTTCTAATTAGAAAATCACTTTTAAAAATTAATGAGCGGATCTAAAAGTAGCTTTTGAGTGCAAAAGCTCCTTTTGACTTCTCAAAAACTACGCCAAATGGGATCAATACATGTGAATGAAAAGATAGAACATTAGTTTTAATAAAATATTAAGCATTTGTTTGGCAAAATTTATAAAGAGGAATAATAGTGTGTCCTACAAAATGTGTGGGTAATATTGAGGAGTAATTATGAATATATGGTTAAAATCAATGTTTGACTTTATCTGATGATATTAAATTTAGATAAAGTCAAACATTAATTTCAACCTCACATTCGCAACAACTACCCATTTATTATTCACATATGTTTTGGGACCCATAACTAATCCATTTCACACATTTATAAATTTGCCAACGTTTGATAATTTTGTTATATCTCTTGCTTATTTTCGGGTTCCACAATTCTGTCTTAAAGAAATCTGGACTCCAAGGGTGATTGCTGATTGGAGTATCTAATTTTGCCTACATTAACCGTACATCTAGATAAGCAACTTAAGCTATCTTTAGAAAGAGCCATGATAGTAGAAAAGTCTCAATCCATGCATACCAACTTGAGGATTTCCGTTTACACATCAACGTGACTTGGTTTCTTAAGAAAAATGATTTCAAAGGTTTAATACAATAACCACTTTGAAGAACCCATCAATGTCACTTTTTTTGTGGAATTGGTGTGTTCTTGTCGGGAGAAAACATTTAAATAGTTATGAGAAACGTTGATGGCTCCAGCAGAAGTAAAAACTAGAGAATCTAGTGAATAGCCTTATCAACTAAAAGTAAATAAAAGGTCAACATAGAGAAAGTCAACAAATTGATAGCATTCTGAACCTTTATCAGAAGACCACCATCGTATTCTTGTTTAATCCAATAAAACCCTCAAGGAAAACAATTAGCCTTTGAGTGAAGTTGATTCTTTGATAAGTGATTTTGTGATTTTTTTTTTTCCCAGAATGTGTCGACAAATGTTAGGAATAGTTATGGGAAAATGATCTTTTTTCTCGGAAATGTGTGGTTGAAAATGAGTTTTGGGGAAAAAGTGATTTTGAAAAAATCAGTTTCGAACAAGGGCTTTGTATTTATCAATGTTACCAGGTGAAGCTTTTGTTAAAAATGACTTCAGTCATCAAATGCAGATTGCAGATTGATATCCCATCCTACACGATTTATCTTAATATTTCTATACCATTTTAAAACAGTAGGGTGAGAATCACACTCGAAAAGAGACAAACTACAAACCATCTCAATTAACCACCTAGAATTACATATGGAAACTGTTGGTGAGAATTGATTCCCAGTTATGGAAATCAATTTCATGTCAATATGCTGCAGTACGACTAAGTTGAATTCAAATCCAATCAGACGTAACCAGACAAAAAAAAATTATACGCATCAAATGCATTGTTTTCTATATCCATTTCATTACTTAGTGCATTAAGTCTGAAAGCCCTCATTCTCCCTTCCACCAGCCACCACCACCACAACCCAATTGTACCATTTAGCAAAGCATCCTTCCTATAGAACTTATAATTACATGCAAATACTCTTATTTTCACAACATATTTAACTTTTTTGCTACATTAAGATAAGAGTATTGCACAATTTTTTGCTATAGAAATTAAATTTTGAAATAATCCAGACCAAGTCTAGCACAAGCTTAAAATAATCTACCGAGCATACTCCAGAGGAAACCAGAACAATCAACAAGTTAAGATCAAATTTGAATAAAATTGCCAGTCATTATTCAATTAAATTATTCAAAATATATCAATTTCTATCAGAAACTGTCAAGTTTTTGGATAATTTACCTCAAGAAAATTCTCCTTCCATCCGTAATAATCAAAAGTATAAGTTAAAACAGAATCTCCAAAACCCTCAATTCAAGATTCTTTCTTTTGCTGAGAACCATCCAATGTTTCCTCCTTTGTTTCTGATCCCAATTTTTCACCGTCCCCTTGGTCATCCAACCTTTCTTTTTCTTTATTCAATTCCCTCACAGCCTCCTCCTCAGCCACCTTCTCAGCCTGCAAAATTGGCGCATAATAATCAGAATGAACTTCCATACACTTTTTCAAATCAGCAGTGGCCCGAAAACACTTCTCCACAATATCTTCCTTGTTCTTCTCTCCTTCTTCCACACAATATTCCCACTCTATAAAAGTGTCTTTGCAGCCACCCCCTTTCATAAATAAGCAAAATCCACATTCCCCCTCTTCCTCTTCTTCGCCTCCATTGGTTTCTTCAATTGATTCTAGCGAATCTTTTTCCGAAAGGATGTCTTTTTCCGCTTGATTTTGTAGGGTTTGTGTCGTATCTGTATCGGATCGTGGATCCGAGGATTCTTGAATCGGGGTTTGCGATTCGAGTTTGGGTTCCCGGGTTTGGGGGGAATTTGAGGAAGACATTGTGGATGTTGTGGTGTTTGAATTAGGGTTTGGTGTATAGAAAAGGTCCCCCATGGCTGCTCTTAAACCTCGCTTCTTAACCCCTTCTCTCGCTCACACAGAATATTTTAATAATATATAGCCTCCTCTTGAGAAGAATTTAGAGTTACGAATACCATAATCATGTATGAATAATAATTAAGGGAAACTTGGAGCGAAGGTCCCAAACTTTTCTTTTTTCTGCATAATACACCTTAACCTTCCATTTTTGTCACTTCAGTCCCTTTAACTTCCATTGCAACTGTAGTCCATTTAACAAATTTCGTTCACTTATGCATTACTCAACCCTTAAATTAAAACTCTGACTCAACTTAACAAATGAAGTAAAGGGTAAAATAGTAAATTTATATTTCTATAATAAAGCGCAATTAAAATAATTAAACAAAAAAGGGAATTCTTTGTTTTCTCCAAACACCTCATCCCCGCCCTTCCCCAACACCAAAATTACTCCCTTCAACATTGCATTTTTAGAACTTTCAGCCAAACAATTGAATCAATCTGACAAAAAGCAAACCTTTAGAATATTATAAACATGTTAGTTTTATAGGGAGAGGATTGAAGTCAAAGAACATCATAACACTTTCTTCGTTGTTTGGTGATCGAATCTACATTAATAGTTGAAAACTAAAATTGTGATAAAGGGAAATAATAAACTATGAGCATCAGCCGAGAAAAATATTTGAAATAATAAATTTAACTGTGTGCTATCTTCTACATAATGACATGATAGAGAAGGATATTGGGGTTGGTCCAAGAATGAAATTTATCTTCTCAAAACATTGAAAGAAAGGTGTTTTGCGTCAGACTATGATTAATTAGAACTCCCACTCTGACAGATCAAAGTTGTTTTGGAAATTTAGAATCAAGAATAAATTGGGCAAGAATAAAATTAATAACACGGTGCATTTAACATACACAAAATCAGTCATTATATCTTGCACGGGAGCATTTGGGGAAAGGGAATTCAAGCATTGGCAAAGAGCGTAATTGAGAATATTATTCTCAATAAAATTTAACAAAACGATGGGCGATGGTAGTGGCGTTTGCGGTGGCAACGTGTAGATGGGTGATGTTGAACTAATTTCTTAGGCTGGGAGAAGGAAAACAACCATTTTTCTTAGTTTTTTGGTTAATTATTTTAATTGTGTTTTATTATAGAAAATGTAAATTCATTATTTTAACCTTCACTTCATTTGTTAAGTTGAGTCAAACTTTTAATTTAAGAGTTGACAAGTAGATGAGTGGATAGAATCTGTCAAATGGACTTTAGCTGCACTAGAAGTTAAATGTTTGGGATTGTGGCCACAAAAATGAAATGTTAAGGTGTATTCTGCAAAATGAAAAGTTTTAGACCTCTATTGCAATTTTTCTAATAATTAATAATAGTTATGAATGTATTGTTGAAATTATGATTGTACAACAGTATATCATAATTTATAGATTTGTTTATAATGACAAGATTTGATTGTGTCAAAATCTCATCAATCAAATATATAAAAAAAAATCATCACTCTCTCTTTGACACGCCATGAGTTAGTAAAAAATCGTGTAGATGGTGATATACAACAAGTATTTTATTTGAAATTAAAATATAAATTTAGTTAAATTTATATTTCAATATCCAAACGAAAGGTTAGTTTATAAATAAATAGATCGAGTAACAAATAATAGTTTTAATTATTGAAATGTATGATTAAATATAAATTATAATGAGGAAATTAGTCTCAATACTGTCCAAAATTACTAAAATTGAAGAATACACTTAAAAAATAAATTTTCATTAATCTTTTTAATTAACAATAAATATATACGTCCAAATGAATGAAAATAAATCATTTACAACCTGAGTTAAACCTACCTTTCTCTTTCTATTCATTCAATTCAAATTTTCAAAGAGACAAGTACAAAGGGCTTGCAATTGCAGCACAAGAGGGAGAATTAGGTAGAACTAGGCTCTTGAGCAACTCAATGTTGAAATTTATGGTCCATCGGAGATTGAATGGGAGGCGGCGTGAAACTCGGCTTAGGAGTGGGCAATTATTACCTTTTTGAAAATCAACACAACAATTTCTATTGAAAAATCTTATCCCATAACCTCTCAATTTCAATTTTGAAATTTGAATTCTCTAAATGTGATAAACAATTTAGTGTCGTGTTCTTTATTTTTGAGAGTCTGATAGAATCTGAAGTAACAATCTGCAGCATTACGTGAATAAGTGAAAACCTTTGAAATAGAGTTGAAATGTTTGATTACTGTGAGAGATTCATGACGACTTTGGTTGAATTGTTGATTTAGGTTTTTTGTTGGTCCGAAGAAATTTGGATTCTCAAGCACATTACCAAGTATGGAAATGGTGACTGGAGGGAGAAAAGGATAAAGTCCCTATACAACATATAATCCAATGTTACTCAGATTAAACAAAATTGTTATTTGTTAACATAAAATTATATCAGAAACTTGTTGTTTGGCAGAGAAGTTTGATCACTTCCAAATATTGTGAGGTTGAAAGTGCGTGTGTTCAGCAATTCTATTTTAGTTGCACATCTGAAGCACACTCACCTTGTTAGTGTTTGATGTTGGAACTTTGGAGAAGGAAGTGCAATGAAAGAGCAACCAAGCTATCTTGTTACTTTTTGTATTGTTTTTCATTTTTTTTTTTTTTCAGTTTTCGTCACTTTTTTAATTTTCGTCACTTTTTTGAATTGATTCTAAGATTTTGATCGGTGTTTTGTCACTTTTTTATGTTTGTCACTTTTTTTAGTGTCATCACTTTTTTAATTTCTATCACTTTATTAAATTGATTCCAAAGTTTTTATTGATGTTTTGTAATTTTTTTGAGTTTTTGTCACTTTTTTTAATTTCGTCACTTTATTGAACTAGTTCCAAGGTTTTGATTAATGTTTTGCTGACTTTTTGAATGTTTGTCACTTTTTTAAATTGCTGTCACTTTTTATAGTTTCACTTTTTTTGTTACTTTTTTGAGTGACAAATATCACTTTTTAATAAAATTAATCACTACTACATTAAAAGAG